CCAGTTTGAAGGGAACTTTAGGCGTCAGTCTTGTTGAATTCCACTCGCTAACTGGGCTGGCTTGTCAAACGTCAAAAAACATTGAGGGGAACTTGGGTGTGCTGCTGTCGAGGAAGCGCCACTGCAAACCAGCTTGGTTGTAGTGTAGAGCGGGGACCTTCAATCGAGACGAAATCGAGCTTGACGATTCCACATGCTCACGGATGATCGTGCAGTCGTTTTTTTTTTTATTGGGAGGCAGGTAGACAGCGCCTATACTGAGAATGTTCTGTGAAAATTCCACGACAATCCAGAGCTGTTTCAGTAGACTGGAAATGAACGAGGTACTTAGGTAGTTGGTCAGTCCTTAAGACAGCAATCAAAAAGGCCTCCACCGCGCGATTTTTGACTGTTCAGGGGAGTCGGTCAGTTCTGACGACGGAATAAAGTGATCCGTCAGTACGATCTCAAATCATTCAGCCTCCGCAACAGCCAAGAAAAATGAGTCGATTTAAGTCCTCAGCCCATGCACGTTTCGATAATAAATCCGGAGGCCATTCGAGGCGCGATCCCGAGAGCTGGAATCGAAGTAAATTAAGATACCGAAAGTTCAGCATTGCAATCATACTCGCCTGGAGTTGCAGGCCGGAAGCCCCTGATTTGTGTTGTTGTTTTGCTTGATAGAAGCTTTTCGGCTTCGTACTTCCATATGTTGCTGTGATGCTAAAGGTGAGAAAGCAAATGACAGCGATCTTGCCAAGGGCCTGACTGGCGGCCATGTGTTTGATGCTAAAGGGTTATACGGTCAAAATTTGGTCAATATCAACTTGACGTATTTCTTTCAATTTTGCATTTAAAAAACCTGAACACCCCTCATTTTGAAGGTGTGTGTGTGTAGAATGTTGCTCCTATTTTGATTTTGGAATTCACTCTTCAGTTGTCAAAATGCCGTCCAAGCAAGAAGAGCAGCGTATCAAAATTTTGCTCGCGCATCGCGAAAATCCGAGCTACTCGCACGCAAAGTTGGCAAAATCGCTAAAAGTTGCCAAATCAACCGTTACAAATGTAATTAAAGTGTTTGGGGAACGTTTGTCGACAGCCAGGAAGTCTGGATCGGGGGGAAATCGAAAACCGGAAGCCGCTGAGACGACAAAGAGAGTTGCCGGTAGTTTCAAGCGAAACCCTAACCTCTCTCTCCGAGATGCCGCAAATAAGGACAAGAACCCTCCCAACACGCCAGAGCTCCGCCCAATTGAGAAATACTGGGCTATTGTCAAGCGGAACCTAAAGAAGACCAAAAAAACTGCTAAGGGCGAGCAGCAGTTCAAGGCAAACTGGCTTTCTGCGGCGAAGAAGGTGGACAAGGTGGCTGTACAAAATCTGATGGCAGGGGTCAAGCGTAAGGCCCGGCAATTCGGATTTGGAAAAGCGGAAGCCTAACTGAATATTTTTCCTGAATTTTATACTAAATGAACTTGAAAAAGAAATTTAATTTGATTTTTTAAATAAACGGTTTCACCGATTTACACGCGTTTTCCCTTGACCAAATTTTGACCGTATCACCCTTTACTGCCAAACGTATGTGATTTAAATGGGGTTGCCAGCCTCCTGGATCTAGCTCACTGAGCATGCTCGAGGTGCCTCAAAAGTAACTCTGAAATTACTCATGATTAGGAGCTGTCTTGCCCCTTTATCTGTGCCGAAAGCTGGGTGAAGCGTTGTGCCGAATGCACTGAAATGAGGCAATCCGCGTTGTCAGATATACCGATATACAGATAAGGTTTCTCAGAATACCGATTTTGGAGATTTTAAACCGATCTATACCAAAACTGTGTATTGGGGACCAAGGGGTAGGTCACTCCGCACACCAATCTTGGGTCATCTTTTTTTCTTCAGTTTGCCGCAGGTGTGCCGATTATGCCGATCATAGAGCAAACTGCGATTGTTTGTCAAATACCCATCCCGGGAAACCGGTATTTCTGACACCTTGAATGTTTTGGTTTGAAATCGCAAGGATAAATCGGTCTAGCGGCATTTCGAATTTAAATCTATAAGTGAACCGAGAAATGAAAAGAACGTAATGTTGTGAACAACTTCAGTGACCAGCAGTCTTCTCCCGTCAGTTTTTTTTCAACTTACTCGGAACTTCAGTCAGGGATGCTTCCAGAGCTTTATTTCAGTTCCATTACCTTCAGGAAAACTACAGGAAGTTCAATTTAAAACTTCAGAAATGTCTCAATTTTTGGGTAAGTTAAAAGATCTGTAAGAGTAAGTTTCTATAAATTAAAGACAGTTACATTAATTTCTGTTAAAATTCGAGAACCCGGAAATTTCTTAAAAGTCCAGAAAATTCCAGTGTACTTAAGGAAACATCAGACATATTTTAGAAACGTCACAAGTCCAAAGAATTTCAGGGAAACTTAATGGTTTTCAGGACAGTTCCATTTGTTTCAGGAGAATTGATATAAATTTAGGGAAGCTCAGCGAACATCAGTACAGATCAATTAATTTCAAGAATATAACTGAAACTTTAAAAGAGCTACCAGAAGCTCAGGGAAATTTCGGAAACTTCGGCAAAGTTCCGAGAAGCTCATGATTTTTTTTGAAAAGTAAGATAAGTTACATGAGTTATTAGAAAATTGAGAAAAACAATTTAAGGAAGTTTCGAGAACTTTTAAAAATAATAAAAAAATAAATCGGGAAGATCACAGAACTTCAATGCTAATGTTCCATTAATTTCAAGAAAATTGTGAGAGCACCCAAGCAACCCAAAGCTGTGGCAGAAAGTTGCAGCAACTTGATTGTGATTTAATTAAGTTACATGAAGGTTTCCTGAACCGTGCTGCTAGAGATAATCCGGAATCTTCAAGAAAGTCCAGAGACCTTCAGAGAAAATTATATATTTTCCCATAGTTTCTGTTTGGAAACGAGATTCCCGGTTGGCTACAACCCTGCCATCGTTAACAACTGACGAGTTCAATAGCCTGCCGACGCAACTACTAGACATAGTTGTTTACGTCTGGGCTATTGTTATACACCATTCACTAAGAGATATCGTTTGGAAGGCAAGTTTAGGTTTATATGTTCCTTCTTGTATTTGTATTGTGCTGTACTACCCATAATCGCATATCAGTCCCATCTTTGCTTGATTTCCTATCCATATGGGACTGATATGCGATTATGGGCAGTGTAGTTAGGTTTAGGAAGCATCCAATATTCAGACAGAGAGAATCGAAGAGAATACTTTTACGACCGATCAGTGTACCGACCTAGCTTGCCAGACCATCGACCGTCGGTATCCTTCTCTGGGAAAAGGGAAGGTAGTTGTGAACAGGTCATCGAAGAGACCATCATCGGTCTTTCTACTATCGTGGTCAAACCGTACATTTAATATTTGGTGTGTAGTGTAGATCTTTTACATTGATCCGTTTAATAAATGGTCTGCTACTTCTTATTCTTCTTCTACGCATTTCAAGCTTATTGCTTATCGCATAATAGCTTATTGCGTGCTCTCAACTTCGTGCTTTCACAGTTATTAATTGAGACCTTTCGATGCCTGCTTCATTTTTGCATTAGTATAATTATGTGGCAAGTACAATCATATCCTATGCCAAGGGTCGAGACATTTTCCAACCCGAAAAATTCCTGGTCTTGCTTTGCTTGCCACCCACATTCTGCATAACATCATCAGTTAAAAATAAAGGGTGTCCACGATGAAATTGCCACACACAAAATTGATTCGCAAAATTCGAGTTTTCATCCGATTGCCATCAAATTTTCAGGGATTGAGAAATAACTATTAAACTTCATTTTACCATTTTACTCGTATTTTATTTACAGTCCATACGCAAATGCCCGCACCTTGGCCTTAACCCCGGCCATAAGATTCTGCACAACCTGTGAATCAACCGTTTTTTGCATGTAAACCCATACTTTCTTCAGTTCCTCGACTGTCTTCACTACCTTAGGTCGTTTAAGAAGGTGCTGCTTCATAATCGCCCAGTACTTCTCGATGGGGCGGAGCTCCGGAGTGTTGGGAGGGTTGAACATTTTCGGCACGAAATTGACCTTATTGTCCGCATACCACTTCAGCACGTCCTTGGAGTAGTGGCATGAGGCCAAATCCGGCCAGAAGATTGGTGGGACGTTGTGGGCCTTCAGGAGAGGAAGCAGCCGCTTCTGGAGGCACTCTTTTATGTACACCTGTCCGTTCATCGTGTCCTGGGTCACGAAAGGTGCACTCCGCTTCCCGCACGTGCAGATGGCTTGCCAAACCAGGAATTTCTTCGCAAATTTGGACATCTTCTGAGTGCGGACATGCTCCGGAACGCTGAACTTATCCTTGGCCGTGAAAAACAGGTTGCCGGGGATCTGTTTGAAGTCGGCCTTCACATATGTTTCGTCGTCCATGATGCAGCATTCAACTTTCGTCAGCATGTTGAGGTACAACTTCCTGGCACGGGTTTTGGCAGACTTGTTCTGCTTCTCGTCGCGATTAGGGGCCTTTTGTACCTTGAACGTTCGAAGCCCAGCGTTAGTTTTGGCCTTCTGGACAAAACTTCGGCTTAGGTGCAGCTTCTTAGCCACATCCCTAACGGAGGCGTTCGGATTTCGGTTGAAGGCCCCAACTACGCGGTTGTGATTTTTGGTGTTGTACGGAATACTTTTTCCTTCACTTCTGGGCTTCCGATCGGTGGTCAACCGTTCCTCGAACCGCTTAATCACTCGCGACACCGGGGAATTCGCGATTCCCAACGTTTTAGCGATGGAACGATGCGAGAGATCCTTGTTCTCGTGATGAATGCGCAAGATTTTATCACGCACGAGCTGTTCTTTCGACTCCATTTCCGCGAGTTTTGATCACAGGACTTTAAAACTTGCAGGATGTAAATAATGCACTATGAACTAAATCCACCCAAATTTTCATTAAATTCTACCCAACGGTTAAAAAGTTAGAGCAATTTCATAGTGTGGCAATTTCATCGTGGACACCCTTTACATGTTATCCTTCCCCATTCCAGGATCCTCAAACGCGACCCGTACCACAAGCGCAGCCTCACCGTCCAGATCGGTTGCCTGATGGAGCTCAAGGACTTCAACAAGCTATTCTACGTGGCCCACAAGCTGGTGGACTTCTATCCGGACGATGCGATATCCTGGTACGCCGTCGGGTGCTATTACGATCTGATCGGAAAGAGTGACCCCGCGCGACGGTACCTCTCCAAGGCAACCACGCTGGATCGGCTGTACGGACCGGCATGGCTTGCGTATGGCCATTCGTTTGCCAAGGAGAACGAACACGACCAAGCGATGGCCGCGTACTTCAAGGCGACGCAGCTGATGCGAGGCTGCCATCTACCACTGCTCTACATCGGAGTGGAGTGCGGCCTAACCAAGAATCTGGAAATGGCAGAAAAGTTCTTCTACCAAGCGATGTCCATAGCTCCGTTGGATGTCTACGTGCTGCACGAGCTGGGGGTGATCAAGTTCGAGTATGAGCTGTATGAAAGTGCGGAGGAAGTGTTCCGAACCACGCTGGATATGGTTCAGAGTATGGCCAAGGCAAATCGGGAACCGATTTCCATACGATGGGAACCTTTGCTAAACAATCTGGGTCACTGCTGTAGGAAGAATAAGAAGTACGAAGAAGCGTTAGAGTTCCATCGGAGAGCACTATTCCTGAAACCTTTGAGTGCTTCCACCTACACGGCGATCGGATTCGTCCAGGCGTTGATGGGCTGTCTGGACGAGGCGGTCGAGTCGTTCCACAAGAGTTTATCGCTGAGGAGGGATGACGTCTTTACGACGACGATTCTCAAGTACGTAATTGAAGACCTGGCTGAGGAGGCTCCCCTGCCGTTCTATGGGGAAGGCGATGAAGTCGAGCTGGAAGGCAAGGTGGAGGAGGAAGATGATGGAGATGATACGAGAGACGACGAAATGGGTGAAGATGGTACGAAAACAGGGGGAACACCCGGTGCGGATGGAGTTCCTCCCCGGTTAAAGCTCAAGTTTGATGAGTACGATTCGAATGCGTCGCCGGTGAGTGACACCAGTGTGGATGACATGAGTATGGATTTGTAATCAAGTGTGAGTATGTATTGTGGAATTAGCTTTTGCTGCGAAAATGTTACAGTGAATACACAAGGTAAGATTTAGTAGTTACGTGGTTTTGTTAGACAATTATTATATTTAGAGATGAAAGAAAGCCATTATTTGTTAATATTATTAGAATTATTCAACTGCAATCACATAGCTAAACCGGCTCCTTCGTAAGCTTTGAAAATCTTCTCCACCGACCAGATGTAGGCCGCAGTTCGCAAATCCAAGCACAACTTGTGCTGATTGGCAATGGTCATAATACCGTGGCCAGCCGTTTCCAGTACGAACTTCAATCCGGAAGCCACGACGTCCGCCTCGCTCGCACTGTCCAGATAGTGTTTCAGCGCTTCCGTCGGTTTAAGGTTGACGCATACTCCGGCTTCCTTGAGCGATTCCTGAACCGATTTGAGCACTTCCTTCAGATTCTGGGATTCCTGCCGGAATGACAGTTTCCCGAATGAAATGTGATTGATGTTCTTCAGGTATTCAAAGTAGGAAGCCGTGACGCCTCCGGCGTTGCAGTACAAGTCCGGAATGACGAGAATTTTGCGACTCTGAAGAATCTTATCCGCTGCCGGGGTGGTCGGACCGTTTGCTCCTTCGGCTATGATTTTTGCTTGTATCTTACCCGCATTGTCCGAATTGATCGACTTTTCAATCGCTGCCGGGATCAGAATATCACAGGGATGCAGCAGCAAATCTTCTTTCGTTTCCTTCGCCCCAGGGAATCCCTTGACGGTATTGTTCAATCGTTGATAGTTTGCAAGCTCACCCACATCGATACCGTCTTTGTTCAGCAACGAAACGTCCTTTTCCTTGATTCCAATCACCTTACATCCAGCTTGCTTGAAGAAATGCCCTGCGTACATTCCAACGTTTCCGTAGCCTTGGATGATCACCGTCTTCCCCTCCATTCCGGGCTTCAAATCAATCGCATTCATCCAATCCTTATCCCTCACGAAACAGTTCGTCGCAATGAACACTCCCCTCCCGGTCGCTTCCGTTCGTCCTCGGATGCCACCCTGGTGCAGCGGTTTCCCCGTCACCGTAGCCAGCGCATTGATATCCTTGTGTCCAAAGGTCTTGCTGTACTGATCCGCCATCCAGGACATTTCCCTGTCGCTCGTTCCCATATCCGGCGCCGGAACATCAATCCCCGGTCCGATGAAGTTCTTCTTGGCCAACTCCGTCGTATACCGTCTTGTGATGCCCTGCAACTCCTTGCTGCTGTAGCTCTTCGGATCCAACTTGATGCCTCCCTTCGCACCACCGAACGGCACATGGACGCAGGCGCACTTGAAAGTCATCAGCGCCGACAGGGCCTTCACCTCGTCCCGCGTCACATCCATCGAGTACCGGATGCCACCCTTGACCGGCAACCGGTGGACGCAGTGATGCGATCGATATCCGGTCAATATCTCGTACTGCCCATTATCGCGCATGACCGGAAAACGGACCTCGATCGTACTGGCCGCCCCTTCCACCAGCTGGATGATGGTCTGGATGCGCTTCTTGCGGTTGTCCTCGCTCAGCCGGGGGTACTTCTTCAGGTATTCGATCAACCGAGGTTCCAGTTTGACGCAGGCCTTGTGGAAGAAGTACTGGATCATTTTGGAAAACTTCGGATCCTTTTCCTGGGCGATCTGTTCCAGGTGTTTCGGGATGGTGTGCTGGAAGCGGCGGGAAGGAATCGAACGAAGGAATCCCGCTGGACGGTTTCTGGTGGCAAGGGACCACATTTCGAGGGATTGGGAAGTTTTTGAAGCACTTTTCGGGACCAGTTGAATCAGTTGAGTGTTTCCGAAGACGGTGGTTGCTTAGATGAGCTGATTCAATACAATGAAGGTAGATTTTTTTTTTTTTTGAGAATCTGATGTTCAACTTGAACTTGGAACTAGACTATTTGTTTACTTTGGTCACACACATTTCGTGCTCTGGCATTCACTTTGGAATGGTCGTGAAATCTTACTCAAGGTCAGAATTATAGAACCAAAATATCCATCACATTCTCTTCAGGATTTTCTTGTAATGCTCTTCCAAGTTGTTTTGGAACTCATCTTGGAATTCTCTTGAAGCTTCTAGGCGGAGTTCTAAGACTTTTGAAGACAGTTTATAGGACTTCTGAAGGATGACCATAGCAATGCTAAAGCAAGTAATAATTCTGTGGGCAATCCGGAGAAGATGAGTGGGTTTAATCCCAGTCGGCGCCGCCGGCATTTTCTGAGGCATAAAATCTCTGATCACGCCCTCCTTCGGAAGGGAAGTAAAGCCGTTGATCTTCGGTCCATGAGTTGATGGGTCGATAGGTAGGGTCCAGGTGTGGGAGCTGCCTCCCTGACGTCGGTAGCATTGGTACTCAGTACGGAAAACAAGATCGACGGAAAACAAATCAAAGAAGAAGAAAAACCATCCGAAGAAGCTCTATAGATTTCTTGTAAAAGTCATTTTGACTGCCCAAAGAGTCGTATTCGTTCTAGAAAAAAAGACAATATAGATTGCTAAAGTATGATTGTGTCAGTTATTTGTTTTCATCGGGAAAATTTTCCGCTATGAAGTTTTTTTTCCCGATGTAAACATTTTACGTGACATAGTGTGCGTACGATAAACGTCAGCAATCTCTATTAGACTTTAGGAGAAGTTCATAGGACTTCTATGAGAACCCCACGGTTATTCAACTGCAAGTGCTTCTACAGGAAATTCAAAGGAATTCTGAAGAAAGCTCATAGGGCCTCTGAAGCAAGGACTTGAAACTCTTCCTCTAGTCTTCCCAGCTCTGGGGATTTCTCGAAGAAGTTCTTTGTACTTCCTTTAGAAATCCTTTGAACTTTCCGTAGAAGATCTGTGGGCTTCTCATAGAAATCCTGTGAACTTCTTGTACAGTCCTGTGGATTTCCTAAAAAAAAGCTTATGAACTGTCTGTGGATGTCCGTAGCAGTCCTTCCAGTAGTTCCATTCACTTCCCATAAAAGTTATGTGGACTTCGTTTGAATCCTAAAGAGTTCTACAGAACTTCTGGAGGAAGTCACCAGCGAGAAGGGCGTCACATCTAAATCTCAATTCTAGCTGTTCGCTGCTCGTGAGCTGTAGCTCACACTATCGAATCAATTTACGAAAAATCGTCTTTCATTTCTCGCATCTACTTGCATCATCTTTTTGCAGGAAATCTTCAGAATCGTCATCAATCTTCTTTCTATCAACTCAGCGTGCGCGCTAACCACATAAAAAAATCTTTCCTGCATCGTAGATAGAGCAACCCCCCTCGGTCATCAGGACATATGGAGTAAGTCCGCAGGAAAATCTGAAAGAGCTCTACAGGAATACAGTAATGCCCCCTGACAAAATCGGGACATTTTTTTTCGCTTAATTTTTTTAACATAATATCTTTAAATGCTGTTTGATAATGCAAGATTTATGTTTTAGGAATCATTCAATATATACGAGCCCATTTAGGGGGGCGGGGGGAGCTGGAATTTCAAACTTTTCGTAAGTGTCATATAAGGAAAGACATTCTTACATTGAAGGTGTGGAGGGGGGGGGGGGGTGTCTAAATGAACTTAGGTAAGAATTGAATGGCCACTCAATGCATATGTTGTTAAGCATTTTCAGTAAGGACAACAATAATAATACATAGTGCATAATAAAGACTTGCATATGTCCCATAGACACCGGACACCATATTGAAATTCTCTGAATGAAATTTGTAGAGATTTTGACACACACACACACACACACACACACACACACACACACACACACACACACACACATATACACACACACACACACACACACACACAATTTTTTTTTTTCATAAAGTTTTTGAATATGGTTAAATAATAAATAATTTATTGACCATTTCATCTTCATTTCAATCGTCCCAAACTACGCTATCAACATTTCGAGCCACGAAATTCGAGGAATTGTTCACAAAATAAATGGTTCTGCTCTCCACTGTCGCACTATTCTCTTTTGCTCTGCATTTTCTGCCATAGGCTCTACTAGAACTTGTGACCGAAAGTGGAAGACGAAGGCTTTCGACAAGGATCTGTTCGTGTGGACAGGAGTCCCGCAGATCTAAATGCGGACGAGCTGACAGAAACGTTAGTGAGAGCATGTGACACGACCATGCCGAGGAAACTGGAGCCAAATAACAGACGGCGTCCAGTCTACTGGTGGAACGAGGCACTTAGCACTCTCCGCGCTAGTTGTCTCAGAGCCAGAAGACGTGTTCAGAGAGCAAGAACGGAAGCAGACAGAGAGGAACGAAGAGAAGTGTTTCGAGCGGCCAGGGCCGCACTTAAACGAGAGATTAAGCAGAGCAAGTCGAACTGTGTCGAGACGCTGATGCCAACCCCTGGGGCGACGCATACCGAGTCGTGATGGCGAAGATCAGAGGTCCAACGATGCCCGCTGAAATGTGCCCAGAGAAGCTGAAAGTCATCGTGGAAGGACTTTTCCCAAAGCACGACCCAACAACCTGGCCACCTACACCGTACGGAGAAGGAGAGGGAGATAACGTCGAAGTCACCAATGAGGAACTCGTAGCAGTGGCGAAAGAATTGAAGGTGAAGAAAGCTCCCGGTCCAGATGGAATCCCCAAAGTAGCGTTGAAAGCGGCGATCCAGTCATCCCCGGACATGTTCAGGATGGTGCTGCAGAAATGCCTGAACGAGGGTCACTTCCCTGACAGGTGGAAGATACAGAAGCTAGTGTTGCTGCCGAAACCAGGAAAACCGCCGGGGGATCCAGCATCGTACAGGCCTATATGCCTGCTGGATACACTCGGAAAACTCTTGGAGAGGATCATCCTAAACAGGCTGACGAAATACACGGAGAGTGAGCACGGATTGTCGGAGAGGCAGTTCGGATTCCGGAAAGGAAGATCGACGGTGGATGCAATTCGGACAGTGGTCGAGAGAGCTGAGAAGGCGTCTAAACAGAAGCTGGCGTTGCTAGAATCGATATTGCGCCATGATAACGATCGACGTCAAGAATGCGTTCAACAGCGCCAGCTGGGAGGCCATCGCCGAAGCACTGCATAGAATGAGGGTCCCTGACTACCTGTGCAGGATCCTGAGGAGTTATTTCCAGAACCGGTTTCTGGTCTACGAGACAGACATGGGACTGAGATCGATTAGGATCACAGCGGGAGGCTCCATCCTTGGTCCAACGCTCTGGAATGGGATGTACAAAGGCGTGGTAACGCTGAAACTGCCCAAAGGAGTTGAGATCGTTGGCTTTGCGGACGACGTCGTCTTGACGGTAACAGGCGAGACGCTGGAAGAGGTGGAAGTGTTGTCAACCTAGGTAATCGACATGATTGGTAACTGGATGCAAGGAGCGAAGCTGCAGATAGCCCACCACAAAACGGAAGTGTTATTGGTCAGTAACTGTAAAGCGGTACAGCGGGCAGAAATCACCGTCGGGGAGCACACCATAGTCTCAAAGCGTGTGTTAAAATACCTGGGAGTGATCATCGATGACCGGCTAAACTTCAACAGCCACGTCGAATATGCCTGTGAGAAGGCTTCGAAGGCCATCAACGCGATAGCTAGAATCATGCCAAACAACGCTGGTCCCAGCAGTAGCAAGAGGCGTCTTCTGGCCAGCGTGTCATCATCGATACTGAGATATGGAGGTCCAGCCTGGGTTCCAGCGCTGGAAACGAAGCAGAACCAAAGGAAACTGAGCAGTACGTTCCGGCTCATGGCCATGCGAGTCGTGAGTGCGTACAGAACCATCTCGTCGAAAGCAGTATGCGTTATCGCCGGTATGATCCCAATCGGCATCACCCTGGCGGAGGACAGCGAGTGCTACAGGCGGAGAGAAGCCGGAAGAGTACGGAAAGTTGTGAGAGTGGAGTCATTGGCTAAGTGGCGACAGGAGTGGAACACGACGGAGAACGGTAGATGGACACAAAGACTAATACCGAATCTTTCGACCTGGGTGAACAGAAAACACGGAGAAGTCAATTTCCACCTAACGCAGTTCCTGTCTGGCCACGGCTGCTTCAGGGAATACCTGCATCGGTTCGGACACGCAGCGCCACCCCTCTGTCTGGAGTGTGGCAACGTCGATGAAACGCCGGAGCATGTGGTCTTCGACTGTCCAAGGTTCGAGGCAGTGCGAACGGAGATGCCCGTCCTTAACGTGGAGAATGTCGTCGTTGAAATGTGTCGAGAGGAGGACACTTGGAATGCCGTCAGCAGGGCTGTCACGCAGATTATGTCGGAGCTGCAGCCTAAATGGAGAGAAGAGCAGCAATCTAGCAACGCCAGCTAGCGCTGAGAGTACAACAAGTGCATGAGCACGGCCACCCCTCGAAGTAGTCGCTTTACAGTGGTCCCGGGGGATCCAGGCAGAGGAGAGAGTAAGGAATGGGTTTTAGTGGAGCTGTACTAGGCAACTAGTGGATACCACACCGTGCCAACTTCACTACAGGCTAGGCTTCTTGAAGCTTTCCTAAACCTTACTATAAAAAAAAAGAAAAAAAAACACATGCATAACGTACATAATTTTCAACTAGCCCCTCAACCCCCCTTCCCCTGCTTTGATTTTGCCACCACTGCACATTTAATTCTCGAAAAATGTTATTATTGAGCTAGACAATCAATAAAATACGAATACGACTGTACAAAACAGTCCACCTCAACCAAAACTAATTGAATCATATAGGCTGACAAAATCGGGTCAA